TTCATCATTGGTTCCTTCGGGTTCATCAGCCAGGTTCTCCTCGGCACCTAATGCATTTAGGTCATTGGTCGGCTCGGGGAATTCGCCCGAATTCCCCTAAACAATCCCCTCATCTCGGGTTGGGACCACCTCGGCAGCTTCCGACTCAGTCACCTTCGGCTCAGTAGGTTTCGAGGCAGCAGCATTTCTTCTCCCCCTAAATACCAGCGGGCAATCATCACTCTCTTCGCCCTCGGCACAAAGACTTTCGGCCGCCTCCCGAGTTGAGGCCACTGAATCGGCCTCGGGCTTTTGAGTTTTAGCCTTTTTTGGCTTCGGGGACCCGATCGGTGATTTCTTCTTTCTCTTCTTTTCCTTGGCAGGCTTTGGGGTTCTGCTTCCCCAAGTCAGGGTTCCCTCATCAAAACGGCCTCTCCAAGGCCTACATAGGCACAAAGGATGAGAATACTAGAGAGAGATGTCTTCTATAAAGAGCTCAAGTGTGAACAAAGGTAAAAACTCACCATGATTTTTGGCCTACCAACGTGTCTTAGCCAGATCGAGCCACACGTGCTTGGCATATGGGCAGATCGAATCAAGTCGTCGGACCCAGCCCGAAAGATCGTTGACAGCACCGGGGTACCACTCGACAGCTGTATCATCGAAGAAAGTTAATTCAAACTCAGGAAAAGGTATCCGATCAGAGGAACGCGTTTACTTACGATTCATATTCCATTTCTCGGGAAATGGCATTCTCTCAGCAGGGATCAGGTCCGAGGTCCTGACTCGGACAAAGCAGCTCATCCACCCTCGATCCTTGTCTTCATCGATGTTAGCAAAAAGGCCTTCGGGGATCGACGTTTCAGCTTAATCAGGCCACCTCGATAAATTCGGGGGCTATACAGTCTAATTAGATGGTCGAGGGTAAAAGGCATCCCCTCAACCATGTTTGAGAAATGCCTAATCATATAAACAATGCGCCAGAACGATGGATAAATTTGTCCGAGTGTCACCTCATATTGGCTGCAGAAATCAAGGATCACTGGATCTATCGATGGTAAAGAGGCTTCTACCAAGCCTAAGGTGAAAGGATATGTATATACACTGAGGAAACCGGCCTTGTGCTTGGTTATGTCATCTCCTCGTGAGGGAATCTCCACTTGCACCGCCTTTCCCAATGGCAATCGGTCTTCATCTTCTCGATTTCAGTTATTAAACTGATATATCGAGATATAGGTTTGCATCATCCCGGAACAGATGAGGGGTTTTCGATCTGGAAATCAGAAGATATATCGCAAGGCCCTGGAGTACACTCTTCGATACTAGGAGGAACTATCGGTTTACCTTTGGTCGCTCGAGAAGACGATGAAGCCTTTTCCTTTTGAGGAACAGTTTTAGAAGTTTTAGCCATCTCTAAAGCGAAAGATCCAAGGGGATGGAAAATGCTGTTAGAAAAAAGAAGGGAGAGTTCAAGAAAATTGAAAAGAGCTAAATGAAATTTCGGGAGCACTAAGAAAATGATATCCACAAGGTTATGGGATTTGTCTATTTATAAAGACCGTTTGAAAATGCCAAGGAAGCCAAAAGGCCGACCGTCGGCCGCCTGCAATTAATGCTTCTAGGAATCGTACAAAAAGCAACCCCTCAGTCTCATCAACCGCTTATGTCATGATGTTGACATCAGGACCCAGACATCGGGAATCGGATTGTCGGAAATTATTAAAGAACAGTCTTAGAGTCGGGTTCGAGTGGATACTCGCTCGACTATTTCAGCCCCAGGTCTACCCGGGTTCGAGCCAGTTCTCACTCGGGGACTATTCATAAGGCCTCAGGGCTATCTCTACTTCGAGTTCGAGCAAACGCTCGCTCGACTATTAAGCCCAAGGGCTACCCGAGTTCGAGCCAGTTCTCACTCGGGGACTATTCATAAAGCCTTAGGGATATCTCTACTTCGAATTCGAGTAAACGCTCGCTCGACTATTAAGCCTAAGAGCTAACCGAGTTCGAGCCAGTTCTCACTCGGGGACTATTCGTAAGGCCTCAGGGCTATCTCTACCTCGAGTTCGAGCAAACGCTCGCTCGGCTATTAAGCCCAAGGGCTACCCGAGTTCGAGCGAGTTCTCACTCGGGGACTATTCATAAAGCTAGGGATATCTCTACTTCGAGTTCGAGCAAACGCTCGCTCGACTATTAAGCACAAGGGCTACCTGAGTTCGAGCCAGTTCTCAATCGGGGACTATTAACAAAGCCTCAGGGCTATCTTCACCTCAAGTTCAATTTAAACGCTTTCTCGATTATTTTAGCCCATGGTCCACACGAGTTCGAGTGTGTCCTCGCTCAGGGACTATCTATAACACCTTAGGGCTATCTTCATTTTAAGTTCAAGCAATCGCTCACTCGCGGACTATTTGTAAAGGCCTAAGGGCTATCTTTATTTTCAGATGATCAAGAAAACTCTCCCTCTAGGACTATCAACGAGGCCTAAAAAGGCTAAGCTTTATTTTTTTAGAAAATCGAGACCTCCCTCTCACTCAATTCAGACTCAGAAGTCTCGGCGACCTAAGTTTGTATCAGATCAATCCAGACTTAGTCCGAGGGATGACAAAGAGTTTCAAGGAATATCATATTAACCAATCGAGAACCAAAGGTATTACTATGTCCGGGTCCAATATTCGGACCGATCGATAAAGTCATACGCTTGGGTTTTTCACAAACGCAGGCAAAATGGAGTTCAGCACAAGTCGAAGGCAAATTAAAGAAACTTGTGTATTAATAAACGACGATTACAAAAGCCCACGAGGGGTCCTTACAGAGAAACAAAGAAGCAAAGAGCAACAACTACAAGGTCTAATCTACTTTCGAGGGTATATCTTCGGGAGCGACATCTACGAGAACCATTTCCTCGGGGACCCCATTTCGATCTTCAGAGCGATATCTTCGAGAATCTCCTCAGAAGCAGCTATAGCCTATCAAAGAGGAAAAGCTTTTAACAAGCAAGGAAAATTGTGGCTTGGTGAAAAATTTAGCGAGTATGGGTCTCATCAGCACCACTATTGTGAAGCCGCTTCTTGAGACATTGCACCGGTGTGGGATGCAAAAGTTAGTAGATGATGCCACCTCAATCCATGGAAAGAAAAAGGAATTAGGCGACACACCAGGTTGAAGTTAAGAGAGATGAGCAGCGGTTTACGGTCCACATATCTTTTGATACGGGAAGAATTTGAGGCCCTTCCCTCATTATTTCGTGCCAACAACAACAACAACTCAATATAATCCCACTCAGTGATGAAAAGCTTTGAAATAGAGCCATGGCATGACTGACAAAGTTGCTGCCGTATGACCTTATGGTCACGAGTTTGAACCATAAAAATAGGAGTTTGGAGGAGGATGTAAAGAAGGGAAAGGGCCAAAGGATGTTGAAGAAAGATTGAGTGAAGTCTTGGCTCAAGCAACCCCCCATTTATAGAGGGACAGTAACGTAACCAATGGCGCAATCAATGCCTATTGGGGAAACGTATCAACGGTTCAATCAATGCCTTTGCGGAAACGAATCAACGACGCAATCAATGCTTTTGGGAAAATGGATCGACGGCGCAATGAACGCCTTTTGGAAAAATGAACTGACGGTATAATCAATGCTTCTAGACGAACCGATGGGATGTTTTTAGTCACTTGGAATGCTTACGTCACGACCATGACGTCATCACGAGAGGTTCGAGAAAGTCGAGGTCAAGATCGTTTCTTATCTTTTCATTCTAAAAACGCGAGGACTATCTGTATACGGCCAAAATTAGGGAGTTCGACTTTGGAGCTACTATGCCGCTCCACGCCTATCCTCGAAGAAGCCCGAAGCAGGGCATGAGGTGCGACCCGAGGTGCGTCCCTCGAGGAAGCACATTGAAGGCTCATTATGATCGATCTCGGAGTAGTATAATCGATGATCGTCGTGAAAGGGCGGGAAAATCCCCAAATATACGTGGCTAGACTGACCAGGTCCGCAAGAATAGTACAAATCCGTACTGAGCCGTTGTACAGCTGTACTAGTATCTTTTCTTCGTCATTTATTAGACATGTACTATGTTGGGATTCACCCTTCCTATATAAAGGGAACCCTTGTCATCTAGTAAGGGATTCAGATTATTACACAACATATTGAATACAATAAAATATTCTTTGCTCTCTTTGCTAACACTATTGTTCTTCACATTTATTGCTTACTCTTTCATTGTTCATTATTGTTCTTCATTTGTTGCTCGTCATTAACCGCAAAAGGCCATCTTTAAGGCCCTCATTATCATTGATTCTTCATCAATCGTTTGTAGCTATTTGCCCGTCTAGACCTCGAGGCCCTGCTCCAGCTAGCTCGAGGCCCAGCCTTGTGACCTTATTGGTTTGCATTTCTTATTTTCTTTACTCACACTTAGCATCTATTGCCTAACAACTAGTATTAAGATAAATCACGTATTTTTAGAACCACAAAATCAAATATAATTGTAGTTACCATTTTCAAGGTAAACAGTAAAATTATAAGATTTGAGAAACCACATTAAAGACGCAAAATTAGAACGCTTTTCTACAATGTCTAAAAAAAAACATCCGATCATATTAATATTAGGTATACCCAACTGAGATTAATTATTTCTGCTAGTTAGTATACCAAGTTAATTACCACAAGAATTTTAAAATGGAAGAAATAGAAAGGCAGAGACACAAGTCACAACAACACCTGTGCTTTTTGCTGTTTTGTTAAATTCCAAAAACGTGAATCACAAGAAAAATAACCAAAAAATAAAAAGGAGACTCGTACACGGTACACCCTTATTTTCAATTTTTGTCTTCTTTTTTATCTTTGTCAAGATCCCATATTTAAAGGTGATATGAGCTAGCTCATTTTCCATTTTACATTTCAGATTCAACAATTTAGCATGGCAAGGGTCTTTTCCTCCATCAATGGTTCAGCAAATCTCCCCACTTTAGTTAGGTGTTCATTTTCATCATGCTACAAGCCAATGGTAGTTAAAATGGGCCGCGATCAATCCTACTGGGCCTCTATCGAGTCAGAAATTGAAGCCCATCTTAAGAAGGTCATATCAATTAGGCCACCTGAATCTGTCTTCGAGCCCATGCATTACTTGACATTTACAACACCCAAATCCACAGCGCCAGCCTTATGCGTTGCAGCGTGCGAGCTGGTGGGTGGTGAAAGGGCCCAAGCCATGGCTGCAGCATCAGCAATACATCTCATGCATGTTGCCACTTACACCCACCAACACATGCACGGTTTCGGGCCCAAGCCCGGGCCTGCAATCGACCACAAGTTTGGCCCGAATATCGAGCTTCTCACGGGAGATGGGATCATGTCCTTTGCTATTGTACTACTAGCCAAAGCCATGAGCCCGGCCCGAGAAAACTCGGACAAGATCTTAAGGGTTATTACTGAGGTCACACGGGCCGTAGGGTCACAAGGGTTGCTAGAAGGCCAGTTTAGGGCGATAGAATGGAGTCAATCAGGCAATGGAGATGAGGAAATGTTAGAATACGTGTGCAAGAAGAAAGAAGGAGAGATTCATGCATGTGGAGCTGCTTGTGGAGCCATTTTAGGAGATGGAAGTGATGAAGAAGTAGAGAGCTTGAGAAATTATGGGCTTTATGTTGGAACAATACAAGGAATGATAAATGGAGTAGGCAGAAATAATAAAAACAAAAGAATGGAAGAACTTAGAATATTGGCCATGAAGGAATTGCAGATACGTTTCAAAGGGAAGAAGGTGAGCCCAATTGCTAGTCTTATTGAAGAGAGTTTCGTGCCTCCATCACAATGTGATCTTCTTTAGATTTTATTTTTGTAGTGGTACATTTTACCTTTTCGTGCCTAGCTCGATCAATGTTATGACGTAAGTATATTTCCCCTTATTGTACTATCAATTCTTTTCTAGCAATCAAGGGCGGACCCACATGGTGTCAAGCAAGTTCAACTGAACCCCCTTCGCTGAGAAATTACTCTATTTATATGGGTAATCTATATTTGAAACAGAAAAAAAACCAAAAACTTGAACCCACTTTAAGTAGCTCAGCGGTAGAGCGGTTGGCTGTTAACCGATTGGTCGTAGGTTCGAATCCTACGTCGGAAGATTTTTTAGTTAAGTGTGCTGCCGTTTGAGGTGGTAAAGAGGGTTCAAAATGTGTGGAAGTTGTTGTGTTCGAATCCCACTTGTACTTGTGTGTGTGTGTTTTTTTTTTTGTCTTTTTTGTCTTTCACTTTATTTTTTTCTTGAAATCAATAAATATTATTCTATAATTTTACCTACTTCAAAAATTAATCTTTCTACAAAATTAATTTTGGTTGTTTCTTTCTTAAATTTTGATAAAATATGAACGTATATTTGTTTAAATTATTTAAGAACAAAAAGAGTGATCAAACTACTTGTCTTACCTGACACCACTTATATGAATACTCATCGTTATCTTTTACTGAACCCGTTTGTATAAAATTCCAGGCCTGTCACTGTTAGCAACTTAATTACATAAAGTAATTAAAGCAAAAGAAAAGGCAAAACAAACAAATGAACAAATTCGAAGTGTTTCTGAAACTCTTCTTTGGATTTGTGTGGTCATGTCATTGATTCAACCAAAATGGACGCCTTTAAATATGACGCAATTTACTTATTTGATACTCTAGTTTTAATCCAAAATTAAAATGGTGGGGGTTCTAATATCATCATGATCATATATGACTATGACTATGAAAGCAAAGAATAATAATTTCTAAATAAATTGACGAGGTGTATATGGATCCAAAGAAATGATAAAGGTGATTAATAATTTACCCCTTAATTTGTTTATGGCCACGATATGATAAGTGAGATGTGAGAACAGTGGTGGATTAATGGAGAAAGTGACAGAAAATGTTTTGTGCGTTTTGGGACTCAAAAGACAGTAATTAATTTTGGTAGTACTACTAAGCCAATATTCTCTGTGTTGCAACAATATGATACTTTAAAATTATATCTCACAAATAGAGTCCCAGCTCCTGCTCCAACTTTCAACAAAACACTCCAATGGCTCACCCCACGATCATACCTCCATTACCCCCAGAGCCCCCGGACAAGAATGAAGTAAGGGAAGTGGAAGCACCTCAGAGCTCCTACAAGGATATGCTCCTAGATAATCAACAGGGTAACCAAGAAACCTACTACGACAATGACATTCAGTTAGAACAGGTCAAAGGCAAGCATATTGAAGGCTCAATCCCCCTGTCAGCTGAAGAAAAGGATCGTATATACGCTCCATGGAGGTACTCAGTCATCATAAAAGTTTTTAAGAAAAAGATGCCTTACCATTTATTACACTCTAAGCTAGTTAACCTATGGAACCCATCCGAAACGTTAATCTTGATTGACCTAGGATGGGATTTCTTCATAGCTAAATTTAGCTTAGAAGAGAGTATGGTCAAGGCACTTCACCTAGGGCCATGGTTTGTCTCAGGGCACTTCCTCTCAGTTAGGAAATGGGAGCCAAAATTTGTGCCCCAAGAAGCAACACTCACATCCACTGCCATCTGGATACGTTTGCCACAACTCCCAACAGAATTCTATGACAAGGCTATTCTGGAAAAGGTGGGATGGAAACTAGGTAAACTCCTAAAAATCGACCAATGCACCTCCTCTACTCTCAGAGGGAGATATGCACGCATTTGCATCCAAGTGCCACTAGAAACCCCAGTAGAAACCTCAGTCATCATAGGTGACCACAAACAATCAGTGATCTACGAAGGTGAAGGAACTTTATGCACCAGCTGTGGCAGGATAGGACACACAACCCTAAGGTGCACCTATAAAATGCACTATCCACCAGTCAATGACACACAGGATAACTCCTTCCACTCAGATAAATCACCTGAAAAAAGCGAATGGAAAACAGTCACATTCCCACGGAGGCGATCACAGAGCTCCCCAAAACAACCACCCACCAAGGAGAACAATCCTACAAATTACCAGGCAAAGGAGGTACAGGTAAAGACGTTTGAAGCAGGTCCAGGTAAATATTTTCACTCCAAAAGCTTTAACATTTTGAGCAACCCAGGCCATAACAATACAATAAATAAAATAAACAAAAAAACAACAATAACTTTGGGCCCGTTGAGAACCCAAACAAAGGGCTGTCAAAATCAAATCATGGGCCAAACATAACCCCACCGGTACAACCCACAATGAGTACCAAAAGGAAGGTGGGTCCTAATTCGATCGGCTCCCCCAAAAATCGCCCACCCCACATAAGCACTGGCCCAACCCCCAATGGCCCAAGTACCAAATCATCGACTGACAAAAACGGGTCCCCTATTTTGTCCCAAATAGATCAACCCATTCTGGGCCCTAAGGGAACCCCACAGTCTCACTCCCCCCCTTTGTCTACCCACCCACTACCTTCCCCTCTCTCGTTAATGGTGGAAATCCTATCGACAGGCATGGTACTCGATTACCTTACCTGCAACCCTCCCAAAACGCAGTCGAAAAGACTGTAACCGTCACTTCTTCAATATCCCCAATTAATGAGCAAGATCTCCCCCTAATCCCAACGCCACAGAACCCTTCCACTGGCCGAGATGTGACAACGGAAGGTTTTACAATGGGAGATCAGTCATTTAACCCCAATCCCAGCTTTTCCCAAAGTAGAAAACAGAAGAAAACCAAAAATGGCAAAAAGCACCCCTACGAACACCCTTCCATCCACCGTCTCTACCAGTCTACTACCTCTGGACCACCAACCGGCCTCTTGGTTGGAGGTGGCTTTACAAGGTCAGGGACTCTCCTACGAGTTCACTCTGGACAACAAGAAGGTGATGCTGATAGTCCAAAATCCGGCTCACCTTGCCAGAGTGACATTAGAAGCTCTGAACAAAGCCCTAATGGCGTTTGGGCCCCTCCTATGGCAGTCAATGGAAACCTCGGAATGTCCGTCACCGATCACAGACCCTCAAGCTCTCAACTCCCACATTCTCCAGAGCTTTCAAGCTCTTCCTTTCTTTCCAGACCTAACGAAGGAGGACCCAGTAGCAGAACCGAGATTTACCCAGATCGAGCCCTCAACGACTCCATCAGTGTCTACCCCAAAGAAAGCGAGCAGACCTCCACCCCTCCAAAACATCCACCAAGGAGTTTCCAAAGCCCTAGACTTGCTGAGAAACAAGGAATCAGCGGAGGAGGGGGAGCAGATGTACCAAACGCCAAGAACAGAGTCGATTGTCCTGGATTCGGTGAGATCAATAGAGTTCAGTTTACAAGTGAGCGAGATTGTGGTGGTTCTATGCCCCAAAGCAATGACCAAGTGCGGGCTAGGCCTAGTTTCAACTCAAACCATGGGCCAAATCAAGCCCTTGATCAATCTTACACCAATACTGAGTCTGAAGAGGAAAACCCCAAGCGACCACCATGCCGAGCTCCCAAGAGGGAGCCCACCCATCCCCCACGTTTCCAATGATGAATTACATCATATGGAATGTTAGGGGTGGGAATAGTGCAGAGTTCAAAAGGCACTGCACTGAAATGGTTAACTTACACAAACCCTCCATGCTGGTGCTCCTTGAAACAAAGATGGTAGATCACCAGTCACTGGCCAGTGCCCTCAACTTTGATATGATCATTCAATCACCGGCGGTAGGTCTTGCTGGTGGCATAGTTTTTATGTGGAAAGAAGACCAAGTCGCAGTGGAAGAAGTGGCCACCACACCTCAAGGTATTCATGCAATGGTTCAGGTAAGACCAAACCATACCCCTTGGCTCTTTTCTGCAATCTATGCTAGCCCTTTGCTTGTAGATAGGAATATGTTATGGGAACAACTAGCAACTCTCTCCAGAACTGTAAATAATAACTGGTTTGTAGGGGGTGACTTCAATGAAGTCTTAAAGGCTAGAGATAAATTTGGGGGGAATCCTATTAATCTCAGCCGCAGTAACAACTTCTGGAAATGCATCAACACATGCCAGTTAATTGACCTAAGGTATAAAGGCAATAAATACACATGGACAAATAAAAGATACAAGAATAGGAATGCCCTAATCTTAGAAAGAATTGATAGGTGTTTTGCCAACGAGGGTTGGATTTCTCAGTACCCTGAGGCAACTGTGCAACACCTGACTAGGACCCACTCAGACCATTGTCCTTTAAAAATCCAAATGGAAAGCCCACAAATACCCAAATTAAAAAACCTTTCAGGTTTGAAACAATGTGGGCTCGCCACCCCTCCTTCCCCAATGTAATAAGCCAAGCTTTTGCTGGTCAAGCTCCTCTAATCCAGTCCACTGTCAGGTTCCAAGAGCTGGCATCCATTTGGAACCATCAAGTCATTGAAAACATTTTCCATAAGAAAAAAAGACTTGTAGCCAGAATTCATGCCATCCAGAATTCCCCTAGCTACCAATTCAGTAGCTTTCTTCTACAGCTTGAGAATGACCTCAATGAGGAGCTAAACAGCATACTCAAAAATGAGGAAGACTTCTGGAAGCTGAAGTCTAGGATTAACTGGCTCAATGAGGGAGATGCCAACACTAGGTCTTCCACACCTCCACCCTGAATAGAAGGAGGAGAAACAAAATTCTTTCCTTAAAAGATGATTATGGCAACTGGACTCACAACCATTCTGAAATCCAGCAGGCCATTGTCACCTTCTTCAAGGACCTGTACACAACCTCACAAGTTGAAAACACATGGGAGCCTACCCCTCAATCCACAATGGAACCAATTGTCCAACAGAGCCACAAGGCCTTCATGGATAGACAATTGCATATGAGTGAAATCAAATCAGCTGTGTTCTCCCACAAGCCCTTCAAAGCCCCTGGGCCAGATGGGCTCCACCCCTTCTTCTACCAAAAGTACTGGGATATTGTAGGGGACTCTGTCATAGAATTCTGCAAAAAGTGCTTCAGCACTTGCACAATGGCTAAAGAAATGAACAAAACCCTTCTGTGTCTTATTCCAAAATGCCCCCAGGCAACCATGCTAAGAAACTTCAGACCTATTGGCCTTTGCAACACAATCTACAAAACTGTGACAAAGATTATTGTTAATAGGATCAAACCAATCCTGAACCTCATCATAGGACCAAGTCAGGCCAGCTTTCTAAGTAACAGAAGAGCTTGTGATAATGCCATCATAGTTCAGGAATACATGAACCACTTTAGGAAAATGAAAGGTCAAAGTGCCAACATGATTTTAAAAATTGACCTTGAAAAAGCTTTTGATAGACTAGAGTGGTCCTTCATTAGAGATACCCTACATGCTTTCAATTTCCCTGTAGGGCTGTCCAAGCTAATAATGTCCTTCATCAGTACTTCCTCTATCCAAATCCTGGTCAATGGAGGAAAAACTAAAGAATTCACCCCTTCAAGAGGCATCAGGCAAGGTGATCCTATGTCCCCATACCTGTTCATCCTTTGTATGGAAAGGCTATCTAGAGCCATTGACAAGGCAGTCAGCCAAAACTTGTGGCACCCCATCAGCATAAGCAGAGCTGGCCCTAAGATCTCTCACCTTTTCTTTGCATATGATCTCACTCTCTTTGCTAGAGGGAACATCAGGAACTGCAACACAATCCTAACCATTTTACAGGATTTCAATAGCAAGTCAGGCCAAAAAATCAATCTGGCTAAGTCTAAGGTCATATTTTCCTCAAACACCCCACAAGACATTGCCCAACAACTGTCTAATACACTGTCTATCAACCACTCCTTATCCTTTGGAAAATACCTAGGCTTCCCAATCTTAAATAAAAGGAAAACTGCCTCTGATTTCCAGTTCATCATTGATAACATGCATAACAAGTTAGCAGGCTGGAAAACCAAACTACTCAACATGGCCAGTAGAACTGTTCTGATAAAAGCCACTCTAAGCAGCATCCCAAGTCATGTCATACAGTTTATAGCTATCCCCACTAAGATAACCAACCGGATTGATAGGATTCAGAGGAACTTCCTCTGGGGAACCACTCAAGAAAAAAAGAAAATGCACATGATTAAGTGGGAGGTAGTGACTAAAACCAAGGCTCAGGGGGGGCTAGGGATCCAAAAAGCTAGTTTCAAAAACAAAGCTGCATTAGCTAGTCTGGCATGGAGAGCCTACACTAATACAAACGGCCTCTGGGCTAGAGTCCTTATCCACAAGAACTGTAACTTGCATAGGCCTGCCAATGCTGGGAGGCACCATGTCAGTAACAAGTCACCCACTTGGAGGGCCATGCTAAGTGGTTGGGAAACTTGCAGGAAGGCCAGTACATGGATTGTGAATAAGGGCAATAGGGTGAGCTTCTTCAATGATCCATGGATCCCCAACCAACCTGCTATTAGACATCTAATTGAGGGACCCCTAACAAATAGGGACCTTCTGGCCAAGGTGAACTCAATCCATAATGGAGGAGCTTGGGACACAAGCTCCCTCTCCTTTGATCTCCCACCCCACATCCTTAACATCATCACTTCAGTGTTTATCCCTAGTGTTACAACTAAGGAAGATACACTAATCTGGGCTCTCACTCCAAATGGGAAGTTCTCTCAGAACTCAGCCTACTCATTCATTTCACAACAGTGCTCAACTGAGCCCTCCAGGGGATTTGGGAAACTTCAAGTGGCTGTGGAAGCTACAAGTCCCTAACAAGATAAAGTTCTTCATCTGGTCCCTAACCCACAGGAGCCTCCCTACCAGAACTATGCTCAGCTCTATGGGAATCAATTGTCCAACTCTATGCCAGTGCTGTAATGCTGGGCAAGAGGATATTGATCACATCTTCTTCATCTGCCCAAATGCTGCCCAATTTTGGAATGCCATCAGGTCCAAATCTACATCCCCTCCTCCTACAAACCCACTAAACAGCACCCACCTCTGGCAGACAGTATGCCCAGCCACCAAAGGAGGAAATTTTAATGAACACCTGCACTGGGCAGTTCTCATTCCCTTCTGCCTCTGGCACATTTGGCTAACAAGGAACAACAATGTGTTCAACAATAAAAGAGAGCTTATCAATGCTAAGAACACTATTGCCAAAGCCACTGAATTCCAACTGCTCAAAGGGAGCAGTAACAATACATGTACACACCAAATGATGCTCAAATGGGAACCCCCACCCAGGGGTTGCTTCAAACTAAATACAGATGGGGCAGTCAAAGGCAAAGTTGGAATAGGTGGAATAGGGGAGATCTTCAGAAACCACAATGGTGACTGGATACTGGGTTACATGGAAAACATCCCTCATACATCCATTCTAGAAGCTGAATTTCGAGCACTCATAAAAGGACTCCAGCTCGCAGAGCAAAACAACCTTCTACCACTACACATAGACACAGATTCTGCAGAAATAATTGGCATGTTAACAGAAGGTAATTTGATATTTGACCCTCTAATTTATGAATGCAGGTTGTTGATTCAAAGGATGGACAGGGTGGTGGTAAGGCACGCGTTCAGGGAGCAAAATAGAGTTGCTGATGCACTGGCAAAGGAAGTAGTAAAAAAAACATTTTGGAACAGATCTGTAGTTTTGGCAGTTCCTCCGGTGTTTGTCAATGATATAGTGTGGGCAGACACCCTAGGAACTGAATTGCCTAGATTATTTTTGGGTTATAATATTGATACTATACTGCACAATATTGCCGAACTAGGTACCCAACGGTACCCAAGTAGCTCTAGTGTAACAGCAATATCTTAGCTAGTAATATATTCCATTTCGACCAAAAAATACTATAAATAGACTTCTTCTCCCTTTTTCTTGTGCATATTCTTCTTCTTTATCTCATATTCCTCTTTAATATAACAAACTAATAGCCAATACAAGTACTTTTTTCATAGGTATGTTTTTTTTGTAGTGTACCAATTTACTATACGCAATATCTAGTATGTACTTTTATTTTATTCTTTTTTAACGTGCTTGCATGTACCAATGATAACACTGATTTCTAATAATATGAGTGATTAATAGTTAAAAAAAAATTCCCTTGATGCTCTTATTTGTTGTATCTTTCTCTTTTTTTAGTTCTCAATTTGTTTAATATTATTATTAACCACATGTTCTTAATGCATGAAAGAAAATGAGAAAGAAAATGACACTGGATAACAACTCTGAGAAGGCTAAATGGGATGCAGAGATTACTCTCAACGCGGCTTGACTATCGGAGAGATTACTCTTAATGTGGTTCGACTATCAGAGAGATTACTCTCAATGTGGCCCGACTATCGGAGAGATTACTCTCAATGCGCCTGACTATCGGAGAGATTACTCTCAATGTAGCTCGACTATTGGAGAGATTACTCTCAATGTGGTTCGACTATCGGAGAGATTACTCTAGATGTGGCCCGACTATCGAAGAGAATACTCTCAATGTGCCCCGACTATCGGAGAGATTACTCTCAAAATGACCCGACTATCGGAGAGATTACTCTCGTTGTGGCTCGACTATCGGAGAGATTACTCTCAATGAAAATTATAGTTCTTTTTAAGGACAAACCCACGAAGAGGCCAACTTAAGGTACAAAGAGACTTATATGTCCACCTTAAGATTGGAAAGTTATAAAACTTCAACTCGAAGATGGCATCAACTTGACGACATTGACTTGAACACTTGGAAAACTTTGAAGATTTGACGGACTTTGCAGACTTCAACTCGAAGAGTGGTTGACTTTTAAAATTCAACTTGAAAAATTTGCAGACTTGAAGACTTCAACTTGAAGAACTGGAGGGCTTAAACAGTTCAACTTTAAGACGGGCGCATTTGAAAACTGAAACTTGAAGACCAACGGACTTGAAGACTTCAACTTGGGTACTTGGAAGGCTTAAATATTTCAACTTGAAGAGTGGCGAACGTGAAGACTTCAACTTGAAGACCGGTGGACTTGAAAATTTTAACTTGGAGACTTCAACTTGAAGACCGACGGACTTGAAGACTTCTAGGGCTTAATTATTTCAGCTTCTCTTTTGCTTTACATTGTCCGACTTTTTATCTTAATCGTATAATTTTCAGCTTTACGCGCTTGTAACAAAAGATTCATATCTTGTCGTGAGAGAGTCCAAATAATGCACCATTTGATTTTCTCGAAAATTAGACTTCAATATCTAAAATATATCCAAAAGATAGAATCAAACACCTTCAGAATTGCCCCAGATAATATTTTATTGAAACCAACTTTAGATTCCACCATGTTGAAAATTTTAAATTTGCGCAGTCTCACTAGAAAACCATATCTTGGTGTTGAAAAGTCAAAATCACGAATTGTTTGATTTTTTGAAAACCTAACTTGCAAATATATAACATATCAAAAATGCAAGATTTAATGCCATAAGGATAGTTTCAGATAATAGTTCGAAATCAATATTCAATTCTGACACAGCGACGATTTCAGATTTGCACCACTTCACCAAAACTTTTGTATCTTGATGTAGAAACGTTAAAATCATGAACCTCTTGCTCTATTGGAAACTTAACTTCTAAATCTATAACTTATCCGAAATGCAAAATTTAATTCCTTAAGGATAGTTTCAGATAATATTTCGAAGTCAATACTAAATTCTGAGACACCGACGATTTCAGATTTGCGCTATTTTGCCAAAAGTTTTATATCTTGAGCTAGGGACATCGAAATCACGAACCGATTGATCTGTTGGAAATTTAACTTCCAAATATATAAAATATCAAAAATAAAAGATTTAATGCCTTAAGGATAGTTTCAGATAATAGTTCGAAATCAATATTAAATTCTGACGCGGCGATGATTTCAGATTTGCACGACTTCACCAAAACTTTTGTATCTTGATGTAGAAATGTTAAAATCACGAACCGCTTGATCTATTGGAAACTTAACTTCTAAATCTATAACGTATTCAAAATGCAAAATTCAATGCCTTAAGGATAGTTTCAGATAATATTTAGAAGTCAACACTGAATTCTGAGACACCGACAATTTCAAATTTGCGCGATTTCGCCAAAAGTTTTGTATCTTGAAGTAGGGACATCGAAATCACCAACCGGTTGGAAATTTAACTTCTAAATATATAACATATCCAAAATTTAAGATTTAATGCCTTAAGTATAGTTTCATATAATATTTCGAAGTCAATACTAAATTCTGTCGCACCGACGATTTCATATTTGCGTGACTTCGCCAAAAGTTATGTATCTTGAAGTGGGGACGTCGAAACCACGAACCACTCAATTTCATGGAAACTAAAATTCAAAATCTAAAACATATCCAAAATGTAAAATTTAATGCCTTAGGATAGTTTCAGATGATAGTTCGAAGTCGACTTGGGTTTCTGATATGCCGATAGTTCCAAATTAGTGCGAGTTCACCAAAAATTTTGTATCTTGATGTGGAAGCCTTGAGATTGTAAGACCCTTTTAATTGCAAGAAATTGAAATTCAAGAGCTTCATTCTCACCAAATGTCTTGGATTCAAGTCTCACTGAATTTGAAACGTCGTGAAGGCACACCAAAAAAACACTTGAAGGTTTGGCGAACATGAAGGCATAGCGGATCCCCGGACTTCAATGCAAATGCTTGGAAGCCCCCTAAAAGATATTAATCATTTCATTGAAGACACCAATTTATCATAGCAGCTTGCCCCCTTAAATCAAATGAGATCCAAAGTTTAACAGAAGAATGATATCTCAGCTCGATTTTCAAGTGCTGATTGAATGGATTACATTCCATCGTACTTCATTCGGACAACGATTGGGGGGTTATGTATCTTTTGAACTTATGCGACTAAACTCAGAATGAAACTCTATGCTGCCTACGTACCTCGGTGAAAAGGATCAAGTCATACCGTAGTTCAGAATAGGCCGCCTCTTTCGAGGTTTTCAACCTAGCGAACCTTTTTTTTGTGGTGGGCCGTACACAGTTTAGACTCATGCAGGCCAGGAGTGTAGGAACATGTAGTTTAGGTTCATGCGTCAAGGAGCATTGCAACTTCAAGGATAATACTTCTTCAAAAACTGCCATTGATAGGGCCGATTCTCATGCCACCTGCATCAACCAGGTTGTAAGCCCCACTTGAATAAGCTTCTTGCATGATATATGGCCCATCCCATTTTGAAGTGTACTTCCCTACAGGTTTTTGGGAAGTAATAATGGGTCATCTTATGGCAAGGACTTGATCTCCTACTTGAAAGGATCTTGGGCGAACTCTTTTATTGAAGGCGCGAGACAATCGAGCTTGATAACATTCAAGACTCTGTTGAGCTTCCAACCTTTTCTCATCGAGAGACTCCAACTCCGCTAATCGAAGTCGAGCATTTTCTTCATCAGTGATGCCTTCCTGAATAGCTAATCGTAATGAAGGTATTTGACGCTAGAGTGGTAAGACGACTTCAACTCCATAAACGAGTGCATAAGGGGTCGCTTGTGTTGGCGTGCGGTGAGTTGTCCTATATGCCCACAGAGCTTCCTCCATACGGTCATGCTAATCCCGTTTGGATTTGGAGACAACTTTCTTTAACAAGTTGCATAGAGTCTTGTTGAATGCCTCGTCTAGACCATTGACGGCAGCATTGTACATAGAAGAGTTATGTTGCTTGAAGCCAAAGAGTTCACAAATCTTGTTCATCAACCTATTATCGAACGACTTGCCATTATCCGTTATTATGTAACGAGGAATGCCAAGGCGATAGATAATGTTTACTCGGATGAAACTTGCAACATTTTTCTTCTTTACTTCCTTGAGAGCAACAGCTTCAACCTATTTTGAGAAGTAGTCAGTTGCAGCCAAGATGTATAGGTGCCCACCAGAGGACTTTGGCAGTGGTCCAACAACACCCAATCCCCAAGCGTCAAACGGCCAGGATCCAACAGTCGGGTGCAACACTTCAGGAGGTTGATGAATAAAATTCGCATAAAATTGACAAGCCTTGCATCTTCGAGCGTGGTCTAAGCAATCTTTTAACATCGTTGGCCAATAATATCCCATCCTTTTTAAATGGAAGTGAAGCTTTGGTCCAGACTGGTGTGGCCCACATACCCTAGAATGTGCCTCTTGCAAAGCTTGGAGTGCTTCTTATTCCCCTAAGCATCGCAAGAGTACTCCCTCGAATGATCTTCTGTATAGAGTATCTTTGTAGTAAAGGAAGCGAGGTGCACGACGACGGATTTCAGTCCTTCTCCTCGGATTTTCTGAAAGTATCCCATAGCATAAATAGTCGATAATGGGTTGTCGCCATTCTTCTTTCTCAACTTCAGAAACAGCGACAAGATGCTTGAGTTCATTTTCTTCACCTTCAGCCTCATTTGGCGGCGGTACTACCCATTTTTGGCAGACAATAACTTGCACTTGATCAGGCAGGGTTAATGATGAAGCTAGGGCAACTAAAGCATTAGCCTTCTTATTTTCTTTCCTTGAAACATGCTGAATAGTCACATCACCGAGCCACCCCATCAATTTTTTAGTGTAATCATGATATGGGCATAGTTCAGGCTTCTTGACCTCGTAACTACCTAAAAGCTGATTGACCACTAACTGGGAGTCACCAAAGACTTGCAATTGCAATTGCTTCATATATGAACGGCCATTTCAAGCCCATGTATTAATGTTTGATACTCAGGAACATTGTTGGAACAGAGTAATGTCAAGGTGAAGGAGTAGGGCAATACTTCACCTTGGGAAGTGACAAATACTACGCCAACACCAGCTCCTCCACGATGCGCAGCACCATCAAAGTAC